AGCATTGTAGCAATCTCATGCTCAGTTCCCTCGAGCATCAGATTGAGGGGGGATGTAAAAATGATGAAATATAAAATTGTGATCCAAGTGAGAAGGTAATAAATGGTCAAGTCAATGCCACTTATCAAGAAATTAAATAAGTTGTTATATGTAGTTATTTAGAATTTGTTTTTTATTTATTTTTATAAGATTTGTTAGAGATATAATTAGTTGGTATAAGGAGAAGGTTAGAGTAACTTGCTCTGTAGGTCTTGTAACAGCAACATCTATATAGGTGATCATTGTAATCCATTGGGTAATCAATCAAGAAAACATTTCAGCTACAAATCTCTCTCTCTCTCTCTCTCTCTTTCTTCCTCTCTCTATCTATTTTTCTGCATTTTACAACAATCTTCATAAATCATTCATACATGTTTATGTTACACCTTTTGGCAAGAAACATAAACAGCCATCATTTGAAAATAGATTATCTAGCCTTCTTGTATAATAGTAATGTAAAAGATTAAGAAAACAACCAAGATTTCAAGCCTTTGGGCAAGAAAACAGTTAACTTAATTGTCGTTAAAATGTTATATCTTAAAAATCTCAAACCGTTCATACATTCATCTCTTTGGAAAAGAATATTGACATGTTATGTGTTTTAAAATCATAATTTATATAATTCAGTTCTTGAAGTCTTTTCATTTTACTGAAAAACATATGTACAAAAGAATGAACTACAAAATCCTACTCAGAAGTTTTTCCTAAAGAAGTAAAGGTTAGTGTAGAAAATACTATCGTAAAAGACTTTATTGTTATGATTGCAACCATCTGAAAAAGCCAAGAAACATTAGGCAAAGAAGTTAGAAACATCAGTAAAGTAAATCCCAAAAACCTATCAATCATAAAATATTTTTTGGTCAAAACTAATAAAGCAATTTTTAGCTCAAAATTACCTCAAAATTCAAGCGCCCGTGAAAACAAGTTCATTTAATTATGCATGTTTATATGGATGTGGAAAGTGACAATCCATCCTAACTCTGGCCAATGGCCAAAATTAAGAAAATTCCCATCCGTTCAAGGTAGATAAGGAGGAGCAAGGAACGCCAGATAAACAGTCCCTTGAAAAACAAATGAGGAAATACATGTGTTAAATCACAGTCCTAGTCAATGCCAACTTTTGTGTTTATCCTTTTTTATAAATTTGAATATAAACTGTTAGTTAGTATCTGTGAAGAGAGAACAATGTAATCTATATATTACTTAGACTAGAACTTTTTGTACTCATGTATATTTACACAGCAAGATTAATCATAATACTCACAACTTCGGCAAATACTACTTCTACCTTCTTGTTCTTCACTTTCACATGGTATCAGACTTTCATAACATGTTGCTCTATAATCAACACCACCTCAACGCTTTCCAAAACATGTAGGTCCAAACGCAATGAACAATCCAAACAAGCACACATGCTCAACCAAATAAAGTATATAGAACATCCAGTATAGAAAATAACACATAGGCACAACAAAAACAATGAGGGGAAAAATAGTTGTAAGTCACCTGAACATGCTCTTTTGTCAATGGAGGAATAGTTGCAATCAGTCGGTCCCCATCCACTTTAGGATTTAACCCCAATGGAGATTCAACAATGACAGTCTCTAAGTTTGATAAGGCTTCATGAGCCTGAGCTTGAAGATGCAAGTTTTCCAATTCCAATGGCCTATACGAGCTCATTGGCCAAACGACACCGACTTGCCGTGTCTTCGTCACGTATAATCGAAAACATCGTCACCTCTGCCACCATGGCTGAGACCAATTGCAATAAGATATTCTTGTAGGCACCGCTATTTTGGCTTCATTTCATCGTCGATAGGAGCAAAAGGCTTAGAAATTGAATCACAATTGCATGTATTCTTTCTCAGACCAAAATTTTCATAAAATCCCACTTTGGTGAAGATTTAATAAACATTTGTCCAATTGTTAAAATTGCGTGATTGTTTGTTCCTTCATCCAAGCTCCAACAAAACCAAGACACCATTAAGCAAGACTTTGGGAGTGAGAATTTCAAATTGGGCAACATGCTTGAACCACCCATGCACGATGGAATTTGAAACTCGAATTCAAAAGATCCAAAACCCAACTCCATCAACCACACGAACACAACAATCCATCCCAGAAAAACAAAAGAGAAAACCTCAAACATTAGTTGAAGAATTCTAGTGCCCAGGATCAAAATATGATCAATGACAATAATAATTAGAATAATCGAATTTATTAAACATTCCACCAAAAACTATGTTCTAATTCACAAAACAAACAACTCAAAACATTCCCTTCTTTGAAAAGAAATATATGAATGTTATGACCAATGAGTTACAATTTCATGCAACCTAATTCATGTAACAATGTTTATCAAAAACCCATTTTGATGTGGTTTTGAAAAGCAATTGCCCATCGAAGCAATTCCAATGCTTCCTTAAATCTCTTCAAGATATTTTGCAAACACTGAGGATGGAGTGATATAGGTATAAATGTTAAGATAACTAAGTTTGAATCCAAGTAGACTATCCTTGCTCTGATACCAAATGTTAGACCTATAAATGGTTAGTCTTCAACAAGGTTCACAAGCCACATATCTTAAATATAACATTTAAAGAGTGGGATGAAGAAAGAGATCGATCATACGTGAGGATGTCATCAATCAAGCAGCAAAGATAGCAAAACCAAGAGAGTCTTCTACTGATTGAGGAACCTGATATCAAAACCCTAGCGATAGTTCTAGATCTTGTTTGGACGTAGTCTTCTTGTGAGCAGGGACACCTCTTATATAGGCAAATTACCCAACTACATCTCAACTATCATAGGATGGTTAAAGCCTAAAAACCCTCCACGTTTATTTAGTTGTAAAACCATAACTAATGCATGTATACTTAGTGTCCTACAAACAAGAAGATTAGCATCCTTAGTGGTTTTAACTTTAACTAATTAATTCCACGTCAATTATTCTTATCATGATAGAGTCCTTACAACCCCTGGTTTGCTGCATTGTGGTGGTGGCGTTTGGTCCTGGAGTAGCTAGTGGTGGTGTTATGTGATGTTGTTGGTCGTTGTGTGCTTGACCATCTTTTATTTTTAATTAGGCTTTTGTCCTCTTTAGGCATGTTGTAATTTTTTTTTTTAGTATCTTTATATTGCCTCTTTAATTGGATATGTAGAAACTGTGTTGTATACATTCTTTCGCTGAAAAATTATACATCAATTTCTTATCATGCCAATTTGTTGGGCTTTTCAGCCATTTCCAACTGAAGGGGCCTAACACAACTCTTTTCATAATTATATCTTTGTAGGAAATTAATTTTTAATTAAAATTATCAGACCATATTCATATAACATCTCGAACTAAAATGGCTAAACATAGCTCTCTTAATAATTTATTATTTTTCTAATGATCAGCCTCCTTAATCTTCATTAAGGTGGTGGCAACTTGGCAATAGTGTGTTAATGACTTACCATCCATGGGACTGCCAAAAGGGCAACTTTATTTCCTGCCATAAGATTTTGGGCATTAGGTTTGAGGTAGTGCAGTAACATAATTGGGATATTTGATGCGTTAGAGAAATTTACTGTCCGCGAATTCCATTACTCGAAACTAGTTTTGCTACTCGTGTATTTCCTTGATCATTTTTCCAGAGAATGAAGAAAACAATTTCAAATTTAAGCAATCAAAATGTATGTATGTATATTAATGTCTGAGTTTGAAAAAAATCAAAGGGCTCATAGTCACACAATATATATGATATTTATCCATTAAGACCAAATAAATGACTAATAATAATAAATAATAACTATTCAAGTTTCAAGTCATATCCTGTCAAAGACAGAATCAAGTAGTTTCACATACAACAGGTAAATTGTTATTAGAGTGTATGCATTGCATCACTTAAAATTACATATGAGGAGATGAAGAGAGAGAACGAGAAGATAGCACAAGTAGTAGTACTTGGTGAAGAGAGTGAAGGATGTCATAGTCAAGAGCGCTGAGAGTTGGGCAACACCGCGATGGCAAATGCAAAGAAAAAGGATGATAAGAGTTGACCAAGAAATATTGGCCTTTGCTGCAGACAAAGAGACTGTTGTGTTGGTCTTGTGTTGGATCGACGATGAGGATGAGGAGGCGGGACAAGATTTCAAATGATGATTTTGTTGGAGTCGAGGATGAGGAGGATGACCAGGAGTATATAGGTAATGATTAGAATATCCAGATAGCATGCAGCACCAACCCAGCAAACGAGTGGGTATCAGGCGAAGCTTGGCCAGTTCGATAACTCTTTGACCATATTTTGGCCTAGTGAGCTACATTGATTTTTAGCCTAGCCTTTAGCTGGGGATATATTTTGTTCAAATCAGGCCATATTTTGGCCCTTTAATCTTTTCTCTTTCTCCAACGAAGATGACCTTAAACTTCCATCTTTATAACATTTCTTTTATTAATGAAGTTCATGTTGAAAAAAAAAAAAAAGTACTTCGAGCAAAAGCATTCCTAAATGTGTCTTAGCCAGTTAGCCAAACGACATATCATTGGTAGTATGTTGTTCCCAATGACAACGTCTCAACACAATTCCCGGCGTCGTGATGCTATTCACATACCCTTTTTAACCTTCCACACAAACTTTGCTAATTTTTATTTTTCCAATACTTTAATTCATTCAATTTGATGGCTGTAAATGGAAGAATGTGTGAAAGGTAAAAAAATCAATATAATTACACTAACACCTCTTAAGGTTTATTTAAAACATTACACTAACACCCCCTGATATTCTAATTTACTTACGTAACCCCTCAAGGACATGTTTACCTCTAAGGTGATGTCAGAGTATTGTATAAAAGTGAATCAGAACCTCAGAGAGTTAGTGTAATGTTTCAAACGTGAGAGAATTTTGTAAAAAACAATAAATCAAAAGGGTGTTAGTGTAATTATGCGGCACCACCCTAACAATAATAAACTACATTAACCGATCAGAGAGTCCCTCAGACCTCTGTTTGGAACAGAAAGTGCAATCCGAGAAAACGAGAATCAAACATAAAAACAAGAACAATGGGAGAAGAAGAAATTAAGGAAGTCGAGTTTCCGCGGTCGATGACGAAGGCCCAGTTCCTCTCCTGGAAGCGCCAGAAGGTCCCTCTCCTCCTTTTTTCTCTCAATTTTTGACTTTCTCGCTTTAGATTTGTAGGCAGTACTGGCTAGGGTTTTATTTTCTCCCATTTTATTTTCTTTCTATTTCTGGTATCATATTGCAATAGTATACATTACATAATATAGATTGAATTGTTTATAATATGTTAATTTAGCTTTAATAAAGGTTGGTCAGATATACAAATGTTTGTGAAAATTTGATTTCTTTTTTAATTGGGTAGTTGTGTTTTTGTGTGTGTATGATTTTTGTTCGGATTTGCAATGTCGAATATGAGTCGAGTTCTTGTTTTTGTTCGGAATTGTTTCTGTTTGGTGGAACTAATGAGATTGTTGTGTAGGCTAATATGTTGAATTTTTTTTTTTTGGTAGGCTGATGATGCATCTGCTAAAAGAGCTGAAGCAGAGAGGAAACGCGCGGAGGATATTGCTGCAGGGACAGTGCAAATGAATGGCCGAGAGCTTTTTGTGCACGAACCTTGGGTTTTTGATAACACTATGTATTGAGGTTAGTTTTTTTCAAGAGAGAGATTCTGTTTTCTTTTTTGTTGAATGTGTTAAATTGGTGGATAACTTTTAGAATGTATTATTATCTCATTTGGATTTTTGTCATTGGGCTTTTGGAAATGAAAGTATAGTGAGTAATCAGAACCTAGTTGAAATAATATCACGGATGCCAAGTTCACTCTTCTTTGTGGACAAGCGTAAGATCTATGCCCCATCGCATAACACTGATCTTTTGACATGTTTCCAACCTTGGAAGTCTTGACTTAGCTTTGTAGACCAATCCTTTCCCTTTTGCATTTGGATTCAGCACCCACAGAGTTCCTACCACCTGTTCGAGTACTTGGAATGTCTCCTTGATCACTTTGAATGCCTCGAGCAGCCACTGGCTCACCTTGCCAACCTGTGTCTAGGGGCTTAGAAACAGCTCTCTTGTTGCCATGGCGCAATACCCTCTTTTCTTAGATATTTTTCAGTGTGCCAGGGACATGACTCGGTAAACCAAGTGTCATAATACAACTGTTTGGATATTTGAAAAAAAAATTTCAACCACTTGTATTATGACATTTGGTGTACCAGTCTGTCTTCCCATATGTTGATTTTGGGGTTCCCTTGTTGAGCACGCAGTTCTTCAACTCTCTTCCACCATTGACGTGCAGCACTCTGCAATTTGAGCTCTACAACCAACACTTTTCTATCTTCTGCATGCATCTTGCCAAAAACAACAGCAACTTAATCCTGGACCGTTTTCCAAAGCACGAACCAATCAATCTTCGAATCTGCCTCACACCCATTATGGGGTCCAGCATCATGAAAGGGGTTTTCGTCTTCCACGTTCTCTTCTTCATCCTTCTGGCTACCTTCCAGTAGGTTGAAGGGTCTGAGTCCGCATACCGGAATCTCCATACGGGCCTCTGCATGTTCCTGTCGTTGAAGAGCTTGCAGTACTCTTGACAGATCTTCAATCATACACCTCATCTCATCCATCTCTGCTTGATAGGTTTGGTTTCCACGGCCACAACCTCGTCCCCGGCCAGCCATGGTGCAGAGCGAAGCGGTGAACCTGCCCTGGTACCAATTTCGTGCTGCACAGCAGCTTAACGCTACTGTCCTGCATCACCTAGATTTTAACTCTCAAAAGGACTGGACATACCAGAAATTAAAATCTTGTTCGAGGACTCTTAGTACAGAAGTACAGCGGTAGGCTAAGGGGTTCAAAGCCAGTCAAAACATAGTACACAAACCAAATTTTTACATCTCTGCAGCAAAGCACCCGGGAAAACCGGAAACAAACTCTGTTTGAACACCGAACATAGAATCAGGAATACACAAGTATGAAGCTCTAGTATGAGTGTCCCTGACCATCTACCAGACTACAGAGCCCTAACTGCCTCCTGTATAGAAGAAAATATCCGCTCTTCTATTTTTGCATCACTTACAGGCCATCTATTTTTTCTTTGTTTCCACAAATGGTAATTCAAACCTCCCTAGACAAGCTTGATGCTTTAAGCTTATATGGACGGTTGTTTGTATAACAGATTTACACCTAGTATTCTTTCCTTTCAAACAGATCTGTGGTTTCATGTCCATTCTATCTCCACCAATTATGTTCTTCCTGGCCACTACCCATCCAATCAATCAAATATTAAGCTAAGAAACAATAGCATTTTGGTGTTCCTATTTCGTAACGGATGTTCTACGAATTTTCAGTACTTATTGGCATTTGACCTATTGCACATCCTTTTCCTTGAAACTAAGGGGATGATGTGTTCTTATGCAATTTTTTCCTCAGCCATAAAAAATAAATTATGATTGTATATAGATTTAAAGCATCTGCATACACGAAAACTGCAACTAGATAGAAATATTTTTTGGTAAAAATTTTAAATAAAATTCTTAGGAACCTTTAAGAAATCCATCAAGGAAAGACCTTAAACAATTGTCAAGGACTATAATGTCAGAATAAAACTGGCATTTTATTATTGAACAATAAATCACGGCAGGACCACATCTTGCCGGACAAGTTAAAGGTGACCAAGCCAACTATTTCTTTGCATGAGGATTCGGCTGGGGTGCTAGCAACATTCGAAGATGCGGGTCAATAGGCAATCCCATCGCCTCAAATGCTGGATCATAAAGACTATTTTTAATTTGCCTGAAATCATAAAAACTATAGTCAGCTTAAAGTTTACCAAGAACAGAAAGATGACCATTCAATAAAACTTCAAATACCTTGGATTAGGAGGAACTGAATAACTGGTGACTAGAGTTAATTCTTTTTCTTGCGGTTCAAAAGTACTCCTGTTGACTTCCCTACGACTAGAAGCTGCTGAAGTCCTCTGCATTTCAGTGAAGGATGATTTCATCAGTGATCATAATACAATGTTGATTCTGAAACCCTTTCCCATGGTTAAACCGTTGCAAAACCTAATGCAATGCGGTACTGAAAAGTTGCTACCTTTGAGCGTTTGGCCGAGGATGACACTTTTACTGGTCGTTTGCCATGTCGTTTTTCAGAAAACCCCTGTTCTGGTATCTCTCCCTAAAACATTTTCTATTCTTCAGAACCCTTATTTATGAAAACATATTCAAGAAAAGAAACCACATATTAATAGGATTTTTCTCTAAGTGCATCGAAGAATGTTTATGCGGATTGGGGAACCCCTTTACACACTATGGTAGAGTTCTTACAATATATTATATACTGCTAACTTATTGCTTGGTGAAGACTCATGTTGGTTGGGAAGTCAAAAATCAGTGTGATCCTTATAAAGTTTCCCAATGAAAATAATGTAGGATATTTGACGATAGATTCAGAAACTTATTTGAATTGTTGAGTAAGGAAGCCTCTTACTTGCTCAGTTGGGGAGTTTTGCAGTTGACTGCTCCTCTTAAAACTGCCATCATTTGTAACATTAGATTGATTCATTATCTCTTCAAGTTGGATGGGAGGAAACCTGCCAAAAAAAAAAAAAAAAAAATCAATAAAAGCATGAACCTGAACCATTAAAAGTACTGTTCCTAGAAGATACTTGTGATTAAAAGGAAACAATTCTGTAAGGGTTTCTTCATAAATTTAAGCGATTAACATAGGGTAAAATGTTTTGGACATAAAAGCACCAAGAGAAGGTTGATAGGCCAAGATCTGGTAGTGCGTCGTAAACCAACATCATCTTAACTATGAGATGACCTTTGCATAGTCCAAAGTATTTTAGTTGGTTGGTGCTATCCATACACCTTTTTTTTATGCACACTTTTTCTATTTCCAGCCTTTTGATTGAGTGAATTGAAGGAGTTTAAAGGACAGAAATTAATAAAAAAATGTAGAGGAGGAGAAGAGGAAAGTTTTTTTGTTTGTTTGGGGGGGGGGTGGTGTGTGGTTGGGGGTTGGCTATCGTGTGTATTGAACATCGCATCACCCTTTTAGTTTCAGTGAAAGGTTTATTTCTAATGGGCCACGTAAACAATTTTATGTTCTTTAAATGAAATATTAAGAATTTACAGAATTCTACCAATCTCTCAACTTCTGGAGCGGCAAGTGAAACAACCCCCACAAAAACAAAGAAATTGTTTATGACTGGCCTATCGTTTTATACATCTGAGAAAACCCTCCGTGCTGCATTTGAAGGCTATGGAGAGCTTGTTGAAGTTAAAATAATAATGGACAAAATTTCCAAAAGGTCCAAAGGTTATGCATTCATAGAATACACCACGCAGATCAGATTCAACAGATAGAGGTTCATCGTCTACTTGTTCAGAAAAGATGACCTACCGACATTTATCTAGGGATTACAAAGTTGAGCAAAAGGTTTTCATCTTAGAGGTTGAAGATAAGTCTTTTGGTGAAAGGATTCGTTTAACAGAGACAACTAGATACAGAGGGTACCAGATTTCTTTCGATTTGGGTTGCGCTGCTTGGCTCATTGATCAGTTAAAGGAGGCGGTAGTTACAAGCGGTCAGAAATTCTTCAGAAAATATAGAGGTCATAATTATCAGTTTTGGGTTGAAAGATTCCACAACAAAAACGGGGATTTCCTTGTTTTGTCCAAAACAGAAAAGGATGGTTTTGTCAGGAATATCTTCGTCCCTAAAGGAAGTAACTTTTTCGGCTGGAGAAGTTTGGAAGACCTACTGTCTGAAATCCTTCGAGGGGGAAAGAGAGTCGGGGCTTCTCAGAGGGATGGAATTGAGCCTTTGAGCAGCCACTCGGGGTTCGGCCCTAAGGTTTCGTATAGAGATGCAGTTCTCGAAGGCAAGACGTTGACAAATGAGGCATCCCTTCAAAACGTCAGAGAGGAAATATGGATCAAGAAAAACTGGAATATGAGAGATATTTTCACGGAATCCTATAGTTAGGGAAGTGTAATCGTTTGTGAGAGACTTGTGGTGCATCAGCCTTGGAGAGATGTGGAGGCCTCACTTCAAAATCTGCTGGGAAAGAAAATTTGGCTTTCACCGTTCCAATGCAACAAGGCCTTGTTTGTTTGTTAGAACGAAGAGGAAGCAACAAAAATTGCTCAACTTGGACTTCTAGCCATGAATAAGTTACCAGATGTGGTGTTGTCTGGATGGTGGGACAGTATCAAATCAAACGACAGAAAGGTGGTTAGTTATGGTGGATGGGTTGCTCTGGAAGGTTTATCGCCGCACCTTTGGACCAATGATTTTTTCCAAAAGATTGGCGATGCATGTGGTGGTCTGGTAGAAGTTGACCGTAGAACAGCTAACTTTGGTTTTTTGCTTGAAGCAAAGTTAAAAATCAAACCTAACAACACTGGCTTTATTCCAGAGTTCGTAAATGTGGCAGATGGAGAATCAGTATTCAGGGTAAAAATCCGTCAACTTTCGCCAGCAAAGAGACCTAATCTTTCGGCAGCAGATTGTGGTGTAACCAAAATACCAAATGGCTCTTTGAAGATTGAATTGAAGTTACAAAGGATCACTGAAATTATCCCTCTGGCGAAGGCAGCTTTACAACAGACTGCCCCTATATCGGGGACACGTGTCTGCTTTCAGATTGGAGATTTTGAATGCCCTGTCACTGTTGGATTTGAAAGAAAGCAAGGTGAGAGCATGCACGTGACTGAGGGTGCGCGGGTTGAGGAGCCTGCAATTAATGTGCCTACTTTTTCTGTAAGAAGGCATGGTGAGCAACAGTGAGCAGAAAAACTGACAGAAGCGACGGAAACGACAGAAGCTGTGGTTTTCACAGAAGGAGCAGAAAAAGGCAGTTGCAAGGGATTATTTTAATAATTCAAAAGAGAAGGGACGTCAGAAAGAAGTGTTCTATTTGGATAAAGGCAAGGGCTTGAAGGTATGTGGGACAGATGGTGGCGGTGGTATTTCCACCGAAGGAGCACAAAAATAAACGAAGGGGTTTTATTTTAATAGGACAAAAAGGGAGGTTAATCTCAAAAGTGGTCTCTTTTGGATTAAAGAAAAGGTATTGGAGGCATGTGGGCCCTCCATTAAGAAGGAGAATTCTTTATATGACTCTGCAAGGATGGTGGGTCTTGACCCACAAAATCTTTTTGCTGGGCCATGTCTAGGCCCAATTAATCTAAAATTCAATGGGCTGAGATCTCAATTACAAGAAGGAATAGTTTTGTCAACCATGGATAATACGCAGACACCCTTGTTGGTGGAATCAAAGCACTCGAATTGGTTGACAATAGGAAGCAGCAATTCAAAGTATTCAACAGTGAACAAATCTCACTGCCCTTCGGCTAAGGAAGCTCATCGCAAGGGTGTTTCAAGAAAAACCCCAATTTGTTTCAAATTGAATTTCCATGGGAGATTTGGCGAATCTGATAAATGTGGAAAAAGACTGAAGCTTGTTCTTCCAGATGAGTTCGGATCTTATCAGACTCCTTTCGAGAGGCCTAAATTGAAAGAAATTCAATCTCCCAATCTCACTTTCTTAAATACTGATTGTGAATAGATGGAAGAAAAGGAGAGTGATGTCGATGAAGTTCCAATAAGGCCATCAGGCAAGTTGATTGAGGAGGAATCATCTGAACAAAGGATGAGGTTAACAGAGGATCTTAGTCTGGATTATTCTCAATTATCAGATTTTGTTGAAGACGAATACATGTCACAATCATCAGATTCAGAGGAGGAGCTTGGTTATTCTTCACAAGACGAAAAAGAAACCTTCGATGTTTTTGATCGCTTTAACGATGTGGTTCACAATCTCTTCACTGATACAACAATAGAAACAAGGACGACGTTGGATGAGGTACCTTCTCAGTCGCATCATGTAGCAGATTTAGACACTGTGGAACAAGTTGAATACAAGGATGCTGGAAAAAACAAGAAACTGTTAAAGTACAACAGGAGGAAAAGGTCGGCTTGCGTATTAGTCAAACGTGAAGCACAAAATCGAACTACCAAATTCATGTCAAATATGAAAATTTCTTCGGTGCCACTGAAAAGGTCTTTATTTCATGAAAGGAATACTAGGAAAGTCATTGCTAGCAAGCTTGTGGGTGGAAACAAGACAGAAAAGAAAATTCAAAGGGGCATTGTCAGATTTAATGAAGATAATTAGCTAGAATGTTAGAGGATTGGGAAGTAGGCAGAAGAGGTTGATTTTGAAACAACAATTCAGGCGCTTAAAGCCCGATATCATTATCTTACAAGAAACAAAGAAAGAATCAATTGACAGGTCGCTTGTGGCTAGTGTTTGGGGAAGCAGATTTAAAGAATGGATTTATGCTCCTGCTCAAGGAAGATCTGGGGGTATAGCTGTAATTTGGAACACCAAACACATCTCGGTTATTGAATCTTTGGTTGCAGGTTTCTCTGTCTCCATAAAAATTAAAGCCCTCAATGGGTTGGACTGGTGGTTATCTAGTGTCTATGGTCCCTGCAAAAATAAAGAGCGAAGGGAGTTATGGGAAGAAATGGCTGGCCTTTACGGTCTTTACAGACCAAGATGGTGTGTAGGAGGAGATTTTAACGTGGTGAGATTTGTAAATGAGAAATCAAATGGGGGAAAAATGACTACAAGCATGAGGAATTTTAATGATTTCATCCAAGATACAGAACTCAAGGATCTGGAGTTGCTCAATGCTCAATTTACTTGGTTAAACTTCAGAGAAGAACCTGTGTGTTGGAGGTTAGACAGATTTTTGTTCTCGGTAGGTTGTGAAGAGATTTTTCCAGAGGTAAGACAAATGGCTTTGGCAAGGGTCACTTCTGATCATTGTCCAATCCAACTAGATACTAACAAGGTGAAATGGGGGCCACGTCCTTTCAGATTTGAAAACATGTGGCTACAGCACCTAGATTTCAGGAACAATTTCAAACAATGGTGGCAATCTTAGCAGGTGGAGGGTTGGGAGGGTTATAAATTTTTGTACAAGTTAAAAGTTATCAAAAGAAAGTTGCAAAGATGGAGTAAGGAAAGTTTTGGTGATATCGAGAAACAAATTAAGGATGCTGAGGCTAGCATAGAGGATTTAGATAAGAGAGAAGGGTTGGAAGGGCTAGATGTTGCTGCTAAAAGAAAGAAGGAAGAGTTACTTTTCCTTGTGGAAGATTTGGCTTATAAGGAAGAAGTGAAGTGGAGACAGAGAGATAAACTGGAATGGGCTAAAGAAGGGGACGGTAATACTAAATTTTTCCATAGAATAACAAGTGGGAGAAGGAAGAGAAACTATATAGAAAGGTTGGAAGTGGATGACAGGGGAGTGGTAGAGGATGCAGAAGAGATAGAAAAACATATCGTTAACTTCTTCAAGTCCTTGTTTAGTAGCAACGAAGAGGTATGTTGGGGCTTGGAAGGCATCAATTGGGCCTCAATAAGTGAATCTAAGGCAACTTGGCTGGAGAGGCCTTTTGAGGAATCGGAAGTACAAAGAGCAGTCTTTGATTGTGGAAGGGATAAATCGCCAGGACCAAATGGTTATTCCTTGCAAATGTTTCAACACTGTTGGGAATTCTTGAAAGTGGATATTTTGAAGGTCATGGAGTTCTTTGAGACTGGGATAATAAATGCGATGACAAATGAAACATTTATTTGTCTAATTCCGAAAAAGTCAGATTCTTTGAAAGTGACGGACTACAGGCCTATAAGCCTAGTTACTGGTTTATACAAAATTGCGGCGAAAACCCTAGCTTCAAGACTAAGGGAGGTTATGGGAAGCACAATCTCTCCACATCAAGGAGCTTTGTTAAAGGCCGACAAATTTTGGATGCTGTCCTTATTGCAAATGAGGTGGTAGAAGAGGTGAGGCAGAAGAAAGATGAGGGATTGGTGTTCAAAATCGATTTTGAAAAGGCTTATGATCATGTCGAGTGGAGATTTTTAGAGGAAGTTTTACAAAGAAAATCTTTGGCAATAGATGGAGGAAATGGGTGCAGGGATGTCTAAATTCTGCAAATTTCTCTGTTTTGATCAATGGGAGGCCTAGGGGAAAATTTCATGCTTCAAGAGGTTTGAGACAAGGCGACCCACTGTCACCTTTTCTTTTTACCTTAGTAGTGGATGTCTTGAGTAGATTAATGGAGAAGGCTCAAGAAAACCATATAATCAAAGGTTTAGGCATTGGGCAAGAAAGGGTGGAGATCTCTCATCTTCAATTTGCTGATGATACCATTTTCTTCTTGGCGGAAGATGAGGAAGTTTGGAACAATTTATTAGAGGTGCTCAATTTATTTTGTACTGTTTCAGGGTTGAAAATCAACAAAGCAAAGTGTTCTTTGGCTGGAATAAACTCAGATGGTGAGAAATTAAAAAGGTTGGCAGATTCTTGAGGTTGTGTGGTGGGTAGTTGGCCAATAAAGTACTTGGGTCTCCCTCTTGGGGGGTAGGCCAAGAGCACTTACGTTTTGGGATCCAGTGGCAGAAAAAATGGAAAAAAGACTTCAAAGTTGGAAGAAGGCCTTCTTATCCAGAGGAGGCAGATTAACTTTGATTCAATCTGTTTTGGGAAGCTTGCCAATCTACTACATGTCCTTGTTCAAAATTCCTTGCGGGGTGATTGGACGATTAGGAAAACTAATGAAAGGATTTCTTTGGGAGGGGGTGGAGGAAGGAAAGAAAAACCACCTGGTGAAATGGGAGACAATTATTAAAAGTAAGGAGGAAGGGGGTTTAGGTGTGGGGAATTTGAGGAATCAGAATGAAGCATTATTGGCTAAGTGGTTGTGGAGATTCCCAAAGGAACCAAATTCTCTCTGGCACAAGGTGATAAGAAGCAAGTATGGGCTGCAGGATAATGGGTGGAATGCAAATCCTCCATTGCGGGGGTTCAAGTCGAAGCCCCTGGAAAGATATTTCGTGTTGTCTCCAACCGTTTCTACAATGTTGCAAGTTTGAGGTGGGCAACGGGGAGAGGGTGAGGTGTTGGGAGGATGGTTGGTTGGAAGGGGGACCATTGAAAGAACAATTTCCTAGATTATTCTTGCTATCGAGAATGCACAACCAGAACATCACAAGTTTTGTGGATCTTTCTATCAATTCTTTGAGCTGGAATTTTGATTTCAGGAGAAATTTGAACGAGGTGGAGATAGAAGAGGTGGCTAGATTATTATAGAAAGTGGAAAATGTTTGCTTGTCTCAATCAAGAGCGGATGGTAGAAGGTGGAAACTGGAATTATCAGGATTGTTCACTTGCAAATCCTATCGCTCTTTCTTGAGCAACAATGGGATTGTGCAACATTTTCCACCCTCTTCTCAGATTTGGAAATCAAAAGTTCCTCCGAAGGTCAAAGTTCTTGTGTGGCTAGTGGCTATTGGGAAGCTCAACACTTGTGATCAAATTCAAAGGAGAAGTCCTTTTATTTGCTTCTCTCCCCATTGGTGCAGTTTGTGTAAAGCTAAGGAGGAGAGTGTTAACCACATTTTTCTTCATTGTTCTTACACGATTCAATTGTGGTGGAAATTGTTTCAGGAGGTTAGAGTTAGTTGGGTCATTCCAAAGGGTTGTTTCGAGCTTCTAAGCACCAATTTTGAGGCTCTAGGAATTGGGAGGAAAGCTAAAGCTTTGTGGGGTTGTCTGGTGTTGGCAGTTTTTTGGAACATTTGGTTGGAGCGTAACAAAAGAATTTTTGAGGATTATACTGGTGTGGGGGTAGCAGATCTATGGGGAAGAGTAAGATATTGGGCAGCCTCTGGGCTTCAGTTTCGAATGATTTTAAGAATTACTCTCTTTCTCACATATTGTGGGATATGTTAGCAGTTGTAAAGTGATTCTGGTTGAGGTTTTCCTACTTGTAATCAGATCCTCTTGAGAGATTTTCTAGTTCTGTTCTTGGTGGATTTCTTATCCACTTCTGTGTATTTCACTTTTCTTTTTTAATAAACTGTTATAGTTTCTTCTCAAAAAAAAAAAAAAAAAAAAAGAAATATTAAGATTAGTAATATGTTCCATTCTTTTCTAAATTCCTTGTACTTACCCCGAAGGAATGAATAATATAAGCAAATAAGGATCATGCAGGTACCTAAAAGATATCTGAGTTTTGGAAGGTGCAGAGCTGTGATGCGGAGGATCAGCTATGTTAGGTAGCACAGACGGCCTCGGCCTTATAGGGATAGGGATAGAAGGTCGTGACTTAGCCACTCCACGAGGCCTGAAAAAGACATAGATAATCGTAAGCACACCCCTCCCATCAAGTAATCTTTTTACCAATTTCCCCCAAATTTTTACGGCAGTATTACACTTTCATATATAGATTCATAGAAGAATTAAACTTTTGATTGCTAACCTAGACTGCATGAGAGGATTAGAATTAGAATTTTGTGCCTTCCGTGCAAGGGCCGCCTTCCCTTTGTTAATTTGTTCCTGTTGTCCAGGCTGGGCCCTGCATTTCAAAATTAAGATTGAACTATATTACGATATGCTTTTCATGGGAGAAAAATTGGTAATGTTGCATTACTAAATGCATAATATTATACAATTAAGGTTTGTGTCTATGATCGATTGTTATTTTTCTGATAAGATGCATTTGAAAAATAAATTTGGAAAGAAGAAAGATCAGATACCCGGAATCCTCCCCTACTTGAAAAGGATTTTCAGGGACTTGGTTCATTTGTTGTGGCTGATTCAGCAACTGTAGGGTGTCTTGGGGTTGGGCTCTAAATCAGATGCATACGTGTACAAGTTAATAAAATTCCCATAAACAAACATGTTTCCGTGTTCACTTTGCAATATTTGATTTATGTGTACCTTATTTGTGCAGCTCCATAGGGTACGGAGTTGTTCCCTTGTGGGTTAAAAGCTCCATAACCTTGTATAACTTGATTATGTTGGGGCCTAAGTTGAATCATCACATCAAAAGTAAACATACGTCAATGTTATAAGACAACTAAACAAAGATTGTGATTATGTCAGGTCATGTACCAAAACCCGGGTGGAATCGAGAGCTGTGCAGCAGGATTGACACTCTGGGGACAGAAGAAAGCAGCTGGCTGCTGGTTGAGGTAGGACGGCCTCTGATTCCCACCACTGTGGCCTGCCGTCATCTGGTCATGGAAAACAAGTATACGGCAGTAGTATCAATGTCATCAATCTTGGTGAAGTAAAATGAAACTGAAACAGTTTGGGAATTGATTTCCGCACACCCATTTTCTCTTTCTGCACACCCCTCTTTATTTATGTCCATTGATTCTCCTTTGATTTGTTCGTTTCAATGACCAGAAATAAACGAGGTGTGTGCGGGAGAGAAAACGAGTGGAAATCACTTCTTATTTACGGTAGTATTTGAAGGGTCAAAACAGAAAACTCACTGTGCTTGTGGCATATTGATTGGGTCCCATAGTCAGAGACCTAAGAATCAAGCAATTTTTCATTCAATCAGAAATTATGCTTAGAAATTTATTGCAATGAGTTTTTTTTCAAAAGAATGTGATTGACATACAGAGGCAGTTGCTCCTGTTGGTGAAATGGGTCCACCATAACATCACCGACGGGCATCTGTTCGTCAAAATGTCCAAAGATAGTCAGTAGTGGTCTAATTATCAAAGGCATATCATAGTTTGTAGACGACTTGATGTAGGACGAAAATTTGGATGTGAAATAACCCAATTTCCGTCCTGTATCCGGACTGATAATCGTTGATGCGTATGAATCGCACACCATGCCGTTGGTACTTGATGAATTAGCATAATAGTAACATTATAAATGGAAAAGCAATAATAAGTTTGAGGTATGATACACGTACCTGCACCGGACGATACGGTGGTGTACTGCTTGATATGAGAGGGTTGAAGAAGAAAGGTGTTCCTTCGTTCTCGTTTTGAGGATATGGAAAATGAGGGTTAGAGGACTGATAGCTTGAAAGTTCAGCAGCTCCAGGCATGAGGTTTTGAGTTGAATTTGCTGGATTCAGACTGTACCAGTTATTTCCAGCTGATGATCCGAACTCTTGCTCCTCCTATGTGAAAAATGAAAAAAAATAATAAATCAAAAAGTAAAATAAAAAATCATCATCAAACATCAAATTAGCATAACCCTAAAAACATCACAACCTTCTTCATAGTTAGGGTGATGCTAAAATATATCTTCTTCTGAAGGTTTATACTATTACAATGTGCAGTCACACAAACTCGAAAATGAGGTTGAGAGATGCTTTATAATTATCAGAGTTCGACATGTTATGTTACTAGATTATTAGTCCAAGTCACGCATTCAAACGCGAATCCACACAAATATGGGTTAAAATTGATTAGTTTGACGAAACGTATCATATTATCTGGCAAATTACTGTCTTACCATGTGTGGAGGATAGGGTTGGCATGCTCTTGGAAGTAGATGACTGAAGGTTACTTCCGGCAATGGCGGCAACAACAAGTTCGGAGCATCAGAAATCGGAGGGAGTGAGTCTTCTAGATTAAGTTGAGCCTAAAAAACATCAATGAAAAAGAAAGAAAATAAATGTTATTGCTCCCATTCAAATTTGATTAACAATGCTTATACTACTAATGCACATAATTAAGCTTGTAATATTCTCAATGGTTAGTACAACATTATATTCCCAATGTCCCAAATTGGTTAATTAGGGTTTGGAGTATGTCATATCTACGCCTTCTGTTTGTAAAAGACAATTAAATCCAAAACCATTTTCTAATAACCAAAGTCTATATAATTATGCAATCATCATAATTTTGTTCCTTTACTAGACTAGAGCTATCTCCACTTAGGTTGTAAAACTTTATTTCGTTAGAACAATTTTTAGATTCGTTAAACGCAATGCGTTGAACTTTAACACTACTCACGTGAGATCTACACTATCACGTGAGATCCACCACGTAAAAATGAATTCCAAACACAGTATTCTGGTTCGTTCGTACTTAATTGAAGACATAATTCAAATGAGTAACAAAATATACCATTATTTGAGGGTCACTCCCCATTGCCTCAGCAAATAGATTAGAAAATGAAATCCCATTTGGTGCCAAGTTTGCAGCTTGCTCGTGGGAAGGGTTGCTAAAAAAGTTGAATTCTGCCTCTGTAAGGCTTTCTGCCGACCTTGTCGGATCCACAGGCAGAGGGCTATCGGTTGATGATCCCAAGTCAACAACATCTTCCTGCTACATCAAAACATTACGTCGTAAAATAATTAGAAATATAAACCTATTTGTATCATATTTACTGTTTGTTTATGTAACATTGATTATTTACTCGTGCCAAATATCATATCTCGTAAACTGGTTAACTAAACTAGTGAAACAGAAAGTGTTAGAAATTTAACAAAAAATGAAAAGAAAATAAGTGTTTCACCGCAGTATTGTTCTCCAAGCTGAATTGATGCTCGAATGGATCACTTCCAATGCCAGACGACTGACCACCTTCCATCTGATCACAGTTTGAAACAAGAAGTCAGCTTTATAGTATAAGATCATACTACAAACTATATTTTTATTTTTGTTTTTTTTTTAAATTTTGGTTGAATTGATACTACAAATATTGCATGTGTGTTTACGTAGAGGCCAAAATCTGGTTAATTACACTAAAGAGAATTATTCATTAAAATGATTTTCAACATTATATTTTTGTTGTTCTAAGTGAGACACTCCCGTACGTGAATCCAAATCTCACTTGGACAAAGCAAAACTTTCATAAGTGATGTTATATAGATTAAAGCTATGTTTGGATGGGGATTTTCAAGTCCTGGAGTTTAAGACTAAGTTAATAAAGAATGGTCTCCAAAAATTGGATAGAAAATATTATAATTCCTTTACCCAAACATAGCCTAACTGATCATCTTTATGCCTTAAAAAGATGATTATTCCATGCAAGTTATTTGATTAATCTAGTGTAAATTGACATAAGCAAGCATAAAGTTTCTTTCATTAAAAAAGCATAAATTAACTTTTTTCTTTCTGGGGTAAAAAAGAAGCATATATTTCTTGTTATATGAAGTAAGTGGTGTTTAGCCATACTACATGTATAAATAACCATATTATTCCTATATTACCATATAAAAACCAACACAAAAGTATTGATAAAATTAATCGACAGAACCAAAACCGAATACTTTGAGAAATAAATACATTTTTGTATAATATATATGGGATTTGGTAGTAAAGACAAGTGATCAGTTCATAATTACATGGCATTTATGCCATTAATTATGTTCACTAAAAAAACTATTGTTTTTTATAGGAAAAATTAAAAAGAAAAAACCCATCGAACAACTAAAATTACAAAATTTTTAAAACCAAACCAATTCGTCTCAATTTACAATATATAGGGATATTTTGCTCACCACATTCAAGTGATGGTGATGCTCACTACTTTATTTATTATCGTTGAATGAATTTAAATTTCGAGATCTGTGTAGTAAATAGACACAAATCTCAAAATTTAACCTCATAATAAGTAGAATGGTAAGCATTATTACCACTTGAAGGTGGGGAGAAAAATACACCCTACGTATAAGATGATAAAAATATAACTCCTCTAAATACAAAAATAATTAATGAAAGGTGAGCGTTTTTTTTCTTGTCAAAGAGGTGAGTATTTTTGAGGAAGGATATTGTTTGACCGAGCTCATCCCACTCATGATAGAACAATTTGTATGGTACGGATTCATCACTGTAACAGTAACTTTCTGGATCAATAACACAAGAATATGTGGAAAAATACTAATCAATGCTCATAACACAAAAACATGTAAAAAAAAGTTAATACATATTCGTATATTATTAACATGTGACGTCATATGATGGTGCATTAATACCCAGCAAGTCCTTCTAACGAAAAACAAAAGCATAGAACAAAAGAAAAGAAAGATTATAGGTTGCCGGAGAAGTTTTATTTTATTTTTTAAATTCTTTTCTTTTAGTGAAAAATGTATTTAAACTGGAGACGGGCCCATGAAATAGACCTGGTACACTTTTTGACAGAAGGGATACTTTGACATTGCTCAGATGGAGGCAAAGGCCAGCCATTTAAATCGATATTACCAAAGAAAATACTTTCGAAAAGAAAAGAAACCAAATCAAATAAGAACGATTATATGTGATATGTCTCATAATTTAATAACATCTTTCAAAAATCATTTTCTAATTGAATCACAACTCATGCAAAATACACATCAAACAGTAAAAAACCTAGAAATTAAATAGTCAATTCAAAGAGTGACCAAAAATTATGTTTGATTTTCCCGATTTTCAGAATGCAAAAAGTGACAAGATTTTGACAAAAAAAAAAAAAAAAAAAAAAATCAGTGGCTATGTGACTGTTTGGGGGCAGAGAAACAATTCTCTCTCTCTCTCTCTCTCTCTCTCGTTTTCATAAACTTTACTTTTGGATAACATCGTACATGTAGCACCACCTGCTATCTGAAATCCTTGAAATGGATAACAAGAACTTTACATAAAAGAGAATCCAAAAAATCAAATAGATTGAATCCATCGTGCAAAGAAACCAAATCAAAACCAACTCAAATGGTAATACAAATTTCAACTGGTAGTTCTTATTTTGTTTAATTTTGTATGAGATTCTTGTGAATTACCTTGGAATATGGCTTCACACTCCAAAGATTTCTGCATGATAAAATGAACAATCTATCAATATATGGTCATTTCAACTTTGTGATGTATATCTAAAAATGTGAAATTTGACATAAAAAATTCAAACAAAATTACACAAAAATAAAATAGATGTACGGGTGGTACGTTCTCTGGCCTAGGGCATGCAGTAACCTTCTAGCTATAGGAGAAAGGGGAGAAGGATGCGGATGGTGACTGATTGAGTGAAAGGGAAAGTGAATACCTCTAGCTAGTTGTTAAACGGGAAGACAATCACAAGATAAAATTCATTAGTTGTTTGTATCCTCAGATGGGTGAGAGCTGTAGCTTATTTATAGCCAAACAAACCAATATGTGTCACAAAAATAAAGGAGGTTTGCTGGTTACTTTTTTTTTTTTTTTTAACATTTTCCGAACTCAGAAAATAAAATTAAGTGTGACATATTTTCATTTTCTAATCTGGTAATTAGTGGAAGACTTATCTTTATGACACTAAAATTGTTACAAAGAGCACACTTTTTTTTTGGATTAAATAAGATAAAAGTGTTTTGATATATGACTATTTGTGCATAAATTTTTATTTTCAAAATGGTGCATTTCGCGCGCTTTATACTGCTTATATATACACTACATGTAAAATTTGTCGGGAATATGGAGTACTATATAAACAAAGTGGAAATAGTGCTACTCTTTTTGAAACGTGTACGTAACTA